CAACGTTTATTTATTTTTGGGACAGAGAGAGACAGAGCATGAACGGGGGAGGGGCAGAGAGAGAGGGAGACACAGAATCGGAAACAGGCTCCAGGCTCTGAGCCATCAGCCCAGAGCCCGACGCAGGGCTCAAACCCACGGACCGCGAGATTGTGACCTGGCTGAAGTCGGACGCTTAACCAACCGACTGCGCCACCCAGGCACCCCAAGGTTCATGAAGTTTTAATAAGCATCTATGGACCCCAATTAATATTAGATTAAGAAACTGGGCTTTCTTAATCTGGGGCACCCTGGGGTGCCAGGGTGGCTCAGTTGGTTGGGCATCTGACTTTGGCTCAGGTCATGATCTTGTGGTTAGTGGGTTCAAGCCCTGCATCAGGCTATGTGATGACAGCTCAGAGCCTAGAGCCTGGAGCCTGTGGTGGATTCTGTGTCTCCCTCTCTCTCTCTCTGCCCCTCTCCCGCTCGTGCTCTCTCAAAAATGAATAAATGTTAAAAAAAATATATTAGATTAAGAAACTTTAATATTAAATAAATACAGTATCAATTAAAGTTCCACTAACTACAACTTATCCAAATGTATGTGGCCAAAACTGCTGGCTGGCCATAAATAATAAATACACTTTTCAAAATCCCCCCAAATCACAGAAGTTTCCCTTAAGACATGGTTACCCAGCTAAGGATCTCCTTTTCGATACTTTTTTTTTTTTTTCCTTTTTAATGTTTACTGATTTTTGAGAGGGAGAGAGACAGAGTATGAGCAGGGGAGGAGCAGAGAGAGAGATACACAGATTCTGAAGCAGGCTCCAGGCTCTGGGCTGTCAGCACAGAGCCCGACACAGGGCAAGAACTCACAAACCATGAGATCATGCCCTGAGCCGAAGTTGGACACTTAAAAGACTGAGCCACCCAAGTGCCCCATCCTTTTCTATACTTCTGTTTCCATCTATGAAGGAAGCCACTTGTGGCAGAGTAGAAATCCATCTACAAGTTGAAAGTCATGTTAAAAACATCTGCTTGGAAGCATAAGCAAGCTACCAAGGTAACCCTGCAAAGTTCCCAAGGGGGAGAAAAAGGAGCAGAGGAGTTATCTCAAAATTTGGAGGTGATTTACCTTCTAATTATTTGTCAAATTAGTTATATACTAAGCAGAAGGCTATTGCTAAGTAGAGTGGAGTGGTCAGCAATTTCTAAATGGTCAGCAGAATGGGACTAAGAGGAAAAAATCTATTTCCTTGAATAAGCAGATTAAATTACATCCTAGGAATAGCAGAACAAGATGGAAACAATCTTTTAAATGTAGTTAAGCCATGCTTTAGCTACTTTTTGGGAGGTACTGCTTGTTACAGCACCTAATTAATATCCTAACTAAGCACAGAATTTCATTCAGAGAAGTTGGCACTTCAGCAAAGTTCAAAATATCTGTGACTGATTTGCCAATTGAATGGACAAGGGATATTTCAAAATGAAAGAGGCCTTCAACTACCTCCACTGTGACCTTAGTCTGTACTTTCTAACTGATTAAGTTTTTCTTTACAGCTTATTACTTAACAAGGGCAACAGACCCTATGGGCAAAGCATCCTCTGATGGGAGCCGAAACTACCCTTCAAGCAATAAGCACTGCCCTAAGCCAGCAAGACCCCATGTGACTGACCACAAGACAATGGTCCACCTGACCTTTACTGCCCACCTGCTCACACCCACAAACCTTTGCCCCACATTTTTTTGAAGTTTATTGTTTTATTTTCAGAGAGAGTGTGCAAGCATATGTGCACCAATGCGCACTCAAGCAGGGGAGGGGCAGAGGAAAGGAGGAGAAAGAATCCTGAGCAGGCTCCTGTTGCCAACCCACAGCCTGACATGAGGCTCAATCCCACAGATCATGAGATCATGACCCTGGCTAAAATCAAGAGTCATATGCTCAACCAACTGAGCCATCCAGGCCCCCAACCCACATTCTCCTTGTATAAATCTAGACCCATTTTCGGTACTTTGGAGACTGTCTTTGAGATACTACTCTGCTGTCTTCCCCGTGTTGGCCTCACTGAAATAAATTCCTTTCCTGTTTCACCACCACTGTCTCTCTGCCTTTGGATTCTGTCAGCAGTGATTGGTCAAACCTGGTCTATTTGGGACCCCAGGGCCAGGTGCTCTTGCCCCCCTGTACCCCAGCTACAAAAATACAAAGCTGATGACTTTAACAATGCCATAGCAAAATACCTGGGAAGACTGCTACTGGTGATACCTAGGAAGGCAGACAACGTACTCTGGGAAAAAAACCTGACTTCAGCCAGACAGGCTTGGAATATTTAGAATGTTGCTCTGTATTAGCTCCTTCATTCTGCTGTCTGCAAAGTCCTATGAGAGACAGGAAACCACTGAGGAGACTCCGGCTCTAAAGAGGAGCCTCAGCGAGAGAGAAGACTGCACTCCCAGTCTTTCTCTAGCAATTTTTGTTAAAATCAAATATGGAACTAGCCCATGGCAAAAATAACAACAAAAATTAGATTACAGATGGTGCTTGTCCCCCTTGCCCACACCTGTTATTAAAGTAGCCTTTACTAAATCAGGATGGAGGCAGAATAGACAGAATATAAACATCAGTAAGTAAAACAGGAGTTTTCTACGGTAAGTGAATGAATGCATGCTTTGGTTACGGCTGCTTTTACCTGGAACTACCTAGATGTAAACTAAATGTTCAAGGAATGAAGGAATGCCAAAGAAACCATATCTGTGATGCAAAACCCTGTTATTCAACTGCTGAGTAACCAACTCAGGAGGAAGCTGTGACAACTGTGGGGTTCCCCCAAAAGACAATAGCCACCTCAGAGGTGTCTACAGAGAATAATGGCAAAAAAAAAAAAAAAATCTTTCAAAGGGGAAGGCCAGAGCCATCTGAGAAAAAGACAGCAATGCTCTTCCATGAGAGTAAAACGGAAGGCACAACACATGCTCTCCCAGGAACCGGACTCCACTATAGGAGCTGCAAGTTTTCACATTCCCACTCAGAAGGATATGACAGTTGTTAAGGATAAGTGACTACCAAGTGTTCCCATTCCTTCTTTTTCTGAACCGCAACTACCCTGTCCTTACACCACCAGTATGTGGTATTTGTGTGTGTGGTGATGGAGTGCTTGCTGAAAAGCAATAGAGTATTTGTCTGTTAGTTAATAGATGGTCTAAAAGAGAGAAGTCACAGCAGACTGAAAAAAACTATCACCCAAAGATCCTGGACTTTGAACTTGTACCCCTTAAGGAAGAGATGGAGATGTTCTCTGGATGAGAAAAGACAACTATGAATTATACGTCGGGACAAAGGAAAAAACCTCTGAGTGGCCAATAGGGCAGGACCTCTGTCACCTTGTATCTCCTTTTCTCTCCTACAGTAATAGAAGTTTCAGGTGAGCACACGGTAGCTCAGGAAAAAAGAGCACACACTCCAGTCCTTTTTGAAGAGAAGTGTGGTCCTACAACTAAGTTCAAGCTGGTAATAAAAGGAAAAACCACAGGATCAAGATGAAGTCACTTACTTATGCTAGGCTAAATTGGTAAACCAGGGCTTAATACCTAACCTAACTGCAGTTTCAACCTCCCCCCCAAATGTAGTCTTAATCAGGAAGTTTTTGGTCTGCACCAATAAGGTAATCAATCTGTCATATGGACCCTTCTCCATCCCCAAAAGGAAGAGGAGTTAATCTACCCAACAAGCCTCTCTCTTTTAAAGAAATATGACCTTGTCTGAAACAATCCTTTCTTTTGCTAACAACTTCCCTGCTCATTCTCCTTCCTATTTAAAAAAAACCTTCCATTTTATATAACTCCTAGGAACTTCTTTCTATTTGCTAGATGGGATGCAGCCAAATTCATGAAATGCTTAATAAAGCCAATTATATCTTCAAATTTCCCTGGTTGGATTTTGTCTTTAACAAGGCCAAACAGATGTAAATAGAAAAAATATATGTAAAATTTCTAAATTATAACATAAAAGAGAATCACCTTGCCCTCCAGTTGTTGTTTCCTCTCTTTTGTTAGTGGTGAGCCATCAGCCTTGCAAACTAAGAAAAGAAACTCGCCTGTATCCTAATTGACATATATGTATTGGCTTATCACAAAATTACAGTTTATATTTCTATGTTGACTATTAAGAACATTTATGCTTCTACTACTCCTTGTAGAAGCCTACACAATTTGTGTTTTATACAAGTACTAGGAGTAATAGTTAACTTGAAAAAGATGTCTTTAGGGGTGACATCTATGGGTGGCTCAGTCAGTTGAGTGTCCGACTTCGGCTCAGGTCATGATCTCACGGTTTGTGAGTTCAAGCCCTGCGTAGGGCCCTGTGCTGACAGCTTGGAGCCTGGAGCCTGCTTCGGATTCTGTGTCTCCCTCTCTCTCTGCCCCTTCCCCGCTCATGCTCTGTCTCTATCTCAGAAATAAATAAACATCAAAAAAAAAAAAAAAAGAAAAAGATGTCTTTGAAGAAACGGACGTTCCTCAGTTATGAAGAGTGGAAGGCCAAGAGGCTACCACAGAGTAAAACATAAATGTGAATGTATATCGAAGCAAATGGCTCAAGGTTCAAATAAATTACAGGGAAAAAAAAAAAACATCTATCTGAGCAAAAGTGTCCAGATGGGAGAAAAAAATTAAAGATAATAAAACGGAAACAACATAGCAAATGACTGGCAGAAAGTCTCAAAGAGCTAAGAGCAGTGTGAAATTGACGTGGTCAGAAAGCCAGAGTGAGGTCTCCAAGAAGCGTCCCGACGAAAACAACTTGGTGAGACTATTCCCACAAATACATACAACACTGTGGAGCAACTGGGGAATGAAAAAGAGCTTCAAAGCTTGTGTAATAATAATCTAGACTAGGCTCTTCAAGAAGAAAGAAAGGTATTTTACAGAAAAAGGCTGAGAAGTACGTTAGTAGTTTTCTAAAGAGGCATATGGCTAAATCCGAAAGTGTACAATTAAGCAGATAAGGAAAGAGTAAACTCACCGTAGTGATTCTGCCTTTTCTCTTGACTGGAAGAAATGGGCATGCTCTCACTTGAAGATCTTTAATGGCAGCAGTCATTGTACTGTTCTCACGGTCACCTTTCCAACAAATTTCACATTGTGTTGTAATGACTAAGGCAGGAGCATCACTTCGTGTCATATCAGCCACAAACACAATTTCAGGATTTTTAATAATAATATTAACTTCCCACTTCTCTTTTTCCTGTACAGGTACTAAATAGAAACAAAATAAGTTCACATTTTAAAATATTTCTAAGTATTTCTTACACAGATTATTTATGGAAAAACTTGTTACTTGTGAGAAAATGGTTTTTTCATTCCAAGGAAAAAAATACAAGAATCTTAGATCTCAAAGGAATCTACTGTAATTCTTTTAGTATAAAAGTTGAAGATGTATAGTCTTAAGAGCATTTTAAAATGTGGGGGAAAACCCCTTTCATGGCAGAGCTGGGAACTAACCCAGTCTCTGACTCTCAACTTGGCACTCCTAACGCTACACCACAATGAGCCACATATGTAAATGATAATGGAGAGCTGTAAAAATAACAAAAATAAAAGAGTACATTAAGTAAAAATACTGTCTTTAAATATGAAAAGGAATAGTTGGTGCATTATTCCTCCTGCTTGTTTTTATCAAAAAAATTCTTTTAAATTACTGCCTGTAGAGAAGCATATTTGCTTATTCTAATATAGGTCCCTTAATTATTGAACCCAATATATATTTATATGTAGAAAAATACACAAACTGCACATCCTACAGGAAAACACATTTACGTTTTTCACTTACCTCTGAAAAATATTTTACTTTATTAATTCACTTAGCCTCATCATCTAGACAGATAATCAAGGCAAGTGCTATTGTAGCATTTCAATAATACATATATTAAATATTTTAGCCAATAACTAACCTTCTTCCTTAGCAGTCCATGTTTGAACACTGGTTTCTATAGCCGTGCCTGTGGTGAAGGCCTCAAGAAAGACGTTTGCAACTGTCAGCAGAAATTCTACACTGGCACAAATATACATTTCTTGAAGGACTAAATCAGTCACCAAACCATCTCTGACTTTCCTATACTTTACATCCATCATGTCCTTTTTGTCAAACCCAACTGTCAGTCCTATCATTCTGAAAAATACAGTAACAATTCCTGTGAGTATCTTAAAAATAACCAAACACACCAATAAAAGTCAAAAGACCTCTTATTCATTTTACTAACAGCAAACCAACATTCTGAAGTCATTTCTCTTGGGAAGATCACAAAGTACTCCAAATAACAGACTTAAGAACTTGTGGAGCACAACTGTTTCATAAACTAGTAAGTGTTAACTTTAAGCAATTGGCAGAACTTAAATGTTTTCTCAATTTTTCATGTTTTCCCATTAGAACTTACAAAGATGAATAATAATTTAGGAAAAAAGAGATTCATTTAAAAAACGAGTTTAACTGCATTATTTCTTTTGAACCATTCCATCAACCATCCAGTAAGAACAGCACGTAACTGAACGAGGCCATTTGCAATGCTGAAAACCGTGACTCCACTAAATTGAAACTTTGAGGATCTTAGGATGTACCCAGAAAACAAACATGCAACTTTGGGATTAAGTTTTGTCAAACAATTCAAACATTTCTCAAATAAAAACTAAGCACACTGTTACCTAGGAGTTGCCTTCTTGACATGAGGTCTTTTATCATCTAAAATACAGTTTTTTAATGAGAAGGAAGAAAATACTGAGTCATCTGTATACATCTTTGCAGTGCTTATAATATTCTCCAACTTAAATTCAGCAAGTTTCAGAGCAGGATCACGAACATCTGTAAAGGAAGTCTGTGGAAGAGGAAACCAATACACATTTTACAGAAAAACAAAGTCTAACACATTTTAAGATGTGAACTACCACATTCTCTATCTCCACAGGGCTTGCTAATGAAAGGCCAAAAAAGCCATTTAATTTAAAAACTTTTTTTTTTTTTACATCACTACCTATAGGAAAGAAAACTTATCTTAAAAGGGCAATGGTTAAATTAATTTTGTTATTAAAATGAAATAATCAGTAACATTTTTCAGAGGAAAAGATAATCCAAAATACATATGAAATATTAACAACTGTTATTTTTTTAAATATTTTTAAAATGTTTACTTATTTTTGAGCAACAGACACAGAGTGTGAGTGGGGGAGGGCAGAGAGAAAGAGGGAGACACAGCATCACAAGCAGGCCCCAGGCTCTGAGGTGTCAGCACACAGCCCAGTGCGGGGCTCCAAGTGAGGAAGTGTGAGCTCATAACCTGAGCCAAAGTCGAAGGCTCAACCAACTGAGCCACCCAAGTACCCCAAAAACTGTTACTTTAATAAGCACTCACATATCATTTTCATCAAGTGAGAAAATATTTTTTCTTCCTTAACTTACCTGCTCAGGACTTGGACTATATAGTACCATGGTGAGATAATCAGTTTTGAAACTCATATTTAGCGTTGTCTTAACTTGAGAGGCCTGTGAATGTATTTCTACCACAGCAGCTGTCACTACAGTTGTTCCTTGGAAAAATGAAAAGTTATTGGACAAAAAAGTTAAGAAAAGTAGAAGTCATTAAAACAGGCTTAAAATAGGCTTAAGAGAATTATCCACTAAACAGGTAGAGTATAATGATATTCAAGAAAATAAAAAAAGATTAGAAAATTCAGATGCTGACCTCAGTAACTACTGGCTTAAGATTCTATCCATGCAGTAACTTGGAAATATTAAACACTGATGCTCCTGTTTCCATTTTTGTAAAATGAGAATAACAGAACTAACCACTGGGTTTGTTTTCGGGATTAAGTAAAAGAGTATGTGTAAAATTCCTACTAGAATACCTGGCACCTAGTTTAATATTCAAACTTACTTCAAAAAACTAAAACCAAACAAGATCATCTTAAATGATGTTTAAAAAACTGTTCCACTGAAAAGAAGGAAACAAAATTCATTCTTTCCTGAATTTTACATTTTGAGCCAAGGCATTTATGTACATGGTATATATTAAATGGGCTTTTACTAAACACACAGCTCTTGCTAATTCTCATTCTACCCAACCGCAGAGACAAGTACCACCACACCACATAACTTATTTTTAATTAAGTTAAAATTTACATCAGTGAAATACATAGATCTTAGCAGAACAATTCAATGAGATTTTATATACCCATGCCACAAACACTTCAATTAAGATACTGAAGATTTTTTACATCTTTGGTTAGGTTTATTCCTAGGTATTTTATGCTTCTTGGTGCAGTTGTGAATGGGATCAGTTTCTTTGTCTTTCTGTTGCTTCATTATTAGTGTATAAGAATGCAACTGATTTCTGTACATTGATTTTGTATCCTGTGACTTTGCTGAATTCACGTATCAGCTCTAGCAGACTTTTGGTGGAGTCTATCGGATTTTCCATGTATAATATCATGTCATCTGCAAAAAGTGAAAGCTTAACCTCATCTTTGCCAGTATATGTATGTTTTCACTCTTATGTAAATCCTGAGAAACTTAACAGAAGTCAATGGGGGAGGGGAAGAAAAAAAAAGAGGTTAGAGAGGGAGAGAGGCAAAGCATAAGGGACTCTTAAAAACTGAGAACAAACTGAGGGTTGATGGGGGGTGGGGGGGGTGGGGGGGGTGGGGGGGTGGGAGGGTGGGTGATGGATATTGAGGAGGGCACCTTTTGGGATGAGCACTGGGTGTTGTATGGAAACTAATTTGACAATACATTTCATATTTAAAAATAAAATACAAGTTTAATTATTTACAAAAAAAAAGATACTGAAGATTTACATCATTCCAGAAAGCTCTCTTGTAACTCTTTCTAGCTAATCCTCAACCTCCCTACCATTCTAATTTTTAATCACCAAAGGTTAGTTTTGTTTGTTTGTTCTTAAATTCTGCATAGTCATATTCAGAGTAAAACCTCTTTCGTGTTTGGCTTCCTTCAGTAAACATGTTTCAGAGTCATCCATTTTGTTGCAAGGGTCATTCTTTCTTCTGCAGTCTATGAAAATGCATTCTACAAAAAATATAGTTTATCCATTCTAGGACTGATGAACATATGGGTTGTTTCCAGATTTAAGCTATTATGAATCAATCTGCTACAAATACTCCTGAATAAGTCATTTTGTAGATATATGCACTGATTTTGGAGTGGGGTAGGATAAATACTTAGACCATAATTGTTTGTTACAAGGTAGATATATGTCAACTGCCAAAGTCTGTTCAAGTAGTTATAGTATTTCACATTCCCAACATTTTCCCAACTCATTCACATTCCCAAATCACATTATGTGCGTCTCCGCTGTTTCATATTCTCATCAACATGTGGAGTTGTCAGTCTTTTAAAAACTGACTCATCTGGTGAGTTTTCCAGATAAATAACTATATTAGGACCTTTTCACCTGCTTACTGTACATTTAATGTATCCTCTCCCATGTATCCAATTTTTTTTGGTAATTCTTTTGGTTTTATTCTTAAAGTTCTTAATTTCAAGGAGTTATCAGGTATTCTAGATATGACATCATATACATGTATCATGAATATGTATCTCAGACTGAGGCCTCACTTTTCACAATCTGATACCATCTTTTGATAAGTATAAATTAAAAATGTTTATGAAGTGTCCTTTATAAAGTTTTCATGATTAGTGTTCTATCTGCCTAAGAAATCTTTGCCTATCCCATGATGATGAAGGTATCCCATGTTGTCTTTTATAAGCTTAAAGTTTTAGCTTTCAAACATAGGTCTTTCATCCATCTCAAATTAATTTCTATATATGGTATAAAGGGACAAGGTTCAATTTTTCCTACATTTATCTAGTTGTGACAGCACCATTTGTTAAAACGTTTATCCTTTCCCTATTGACTAGTCTTCATTGAAATCAGTTGACTCTATCTGTGTGTTTTCTGGACTCCTGGGCTTTACTATTCCATTTATGTTATGCCAATAGCCATACTAGCAAGATTTGTAGTTTATTCCATGTTTTGAAATTAGACAGTATAAATCTTTGTTCTTCCTTTGCAATATATATATATATATTTTTGCCCTTTGTTTTTCGGTTTTCTGGCTATGTGGTCAAAGGCATTTTTACTTCTTTCTACTCTTTAGACCTATTAATCCTTCTCCTGGCCTTATTACTCTATCAATGACTACCAATTGACCTGGTATGATGATTATGGACACTTCTAACTTGTGCCTACTTTACAGGGAAAAATTTAACACTTCAGCATTAAGTATGCCTTTTAAATATTTCTAGTTTTCTTCACAAACAGGTACAGAATTTTGTCAAATGCTTTCTTTGCATCTGCTGAGATATAATCTTTTTCTTCTTTGTTAATTTGGTGATTTACATTCATTGATTTTTGACTGTTAAAACCAACTTTGTTATTTTGGGCTAATTCTCACTTGGTCAAGGTGAAGTATCCTATATCCTTATTGTTGGATTCAGTATACTAATATGTTGTTTAAAATTTCCGTATCTGTGTTCATGAAGTATTTGGTGTGTGATTTTTTTAAATGCTTATTTATGC